TTCTGGCTGTAAAAAAACACTAGGGGTTAGGGGAGCAGAAGGAACTGCAGGATTCTTAGAATTGTCCTATTAAAGGGACAGTAATGGACTTAGGCCTTATACAGACTCACTCCCTCTGGGTTTCAGCACCAGGGCAGCAGCTAGAAGGGCACCAGTGGCATACAGGGAGAAATTGAACTGTCTGTCATCAGGGGGAGTGCCAGGGGACAGCTTCCTCCTGTACAAAACTCCAGAGGCCAGGCAGTGGCATTGCCCCTTTCTGAGCCCTCCCCTATACAGAGCCACAGAGCAGCAACACCATATCGGGTATTCCATCAACATGGTTCACATGGGTTGACCCGCCCTGGCAATTACCTAAGATCCTCCCCGACCTGCAACTTACCAGTGAGCTTTTCTACAATAGGCCATACTACTAAGACAGGGAGTCCAAGCAGCTCTACCTAATGCATAGAAACAAACACAGGGAGGCTGCCAAAATGAGGGGACAAAGAAACATGGCCCAAATAAAAGAACAGAGCAAAACTCCAGAAAAAGAACTAAACAAAATGGAGATAAGCAATATACAAGAAACGGAGTTTAAAACACTGGTTATAAGAATGTTTAAGGAAGTTAGTGAAGACCTGAAGAGCATAAAAAAGATCCAGTCAGAAACGAAGGATACACTAACTGAAATAAAGAACTTAGAGGGAAACAACAGTAGAGTGGATTAAGCCAAGAATCAAATCAATAATTTGGAACATAAGGAAGCAAAAAACAAGCAATCAGAACAAGGAGAAGAGAAAAAGAATCCAAAAAACCCCACAAAGATACAAAGAGAGTGTAAGCAGCCTCTGGGACAACTTTAAGCACAGCAACATTCGCATCATGGGGTGCCAGAAGGAGAAGAGGAAGAGCAAGAAACTGGAAATCTACTTGAAAAAATAATGAAAGAAAGCTTCCCTAATTTGGTGAAGGAAACAGACATACAAGTCCAGGAAGCTCAGTGAGTCCCAAACAAGATGGACACGAAGGGGACCAAAACAAAGCTCATTATTATTAAAATGCCCAAGGTTAAAGACAGAGAATAAAAGCAGTAAGAGAAAAGCAGATAGTTACCTACAAAGGAGTTCCCATTAAGACTGCCAGGTGATTTCTCAAAAGAAACTTTGCAGGCTAGAAAGGACCAGCAAGTATTCAAAGTGATGAAAATCAAGGACCTACAATATAGATTACTCTATCGAGAAAAGCTCTCATTTAGAATGATAAGGCAGATAAAGTGCTTTCCAGACAAGGTAAAGCTAAAGGAGTTCATCATCATCAAACCATTATTATTTGAAATGTTAAAAGGACTTACTTAAGAAAAAGAAGATCAAAACTATGAATATTAAAATGATGATAAATTCACAACTATCAACGACTGACTCTAAAAACAGCCTGTGCAAACAGCGGAACAGGAACAGAATCATAGATATGGAGATCATTTGGAGGGTTATCAGTCGAGAGGGAGAAGGGGAAGAATGGGGGATAAGGTGCAGGGATTAAGAAGTACAAATTTGTAGGTACAGAATAGATGGGGGATGTTAAGAACAGTATAGGAAATAGAGTAGCCAAAGAGCTATATATACCCCATGGACATGAACTAAAGGGGGGAAAATGATGGTGGGAATGGGGGTGTACTGAGTGGAGGCAGGCAAAAAGGCAAAAATTGGGACCACAGTAATAGTATAATCAATGAAATTTTTTTTTTTTTAATAACGGCAACTCATTTTTAAAAACAGGCACAGGATCTGAATAGACATTTTTTCAAGGCAGTTATACAAATGGCTATCAAGGACATAAAAGATGTTAGACATCATTAGACATCAGGTAAATCAAAACCACAATGAAATACTACTTCACAACCACTAGGATAGTATAATCAAAAAGCCAGATAACAAGTGTTGCCAACAATGTAAAAAAATCAAAACTCTGATGCCCTGCTGAAGGAAATGCATAATGACCCAGTTGTTTTGGAAACCAGTCTGGTAGCACATCAAATGATTAAACGTAAGTTACAATACAACCCAACAATTCCACTCTTAGGTAAAAATACCCAAGACTGAAAGCATATGTCCACATAGAAACATGTACATGAATGTTAAATATCCCCATGGACAAGGATCCACAACTCCTTGCTCAGTCTTGCCCAGTTTCTGGATTGTTCCTGACCAAAGCAGGAGCTTCATTAGGGGTCCCACCCCTACCAAGTAAGACATGTAACTATTCCTGTCCCACTTCACAACACCTGCTTTCCACTTTCTCAACCTGTCCATGCCACAAGTTCAGAATTCTGCTCATTTTTATATGAGAATATGATATACTCTAGAACTGGTACCCTAGTCCAAATTCCAACTCCCCAGATAGGTTCCTAACATCCTCCCCAATTTATACCAATCCCTTGGTGCTCATGTATTCTTTCACGTCGTAAATGAAGACCTATGACAAACTAGATATACTTCTAGAAACTGCACTGTGATTACCAGCTCAAACTTTGGACAGTAAAGGAATCCTATGTGCCAATCACAATGAGCATCTCACAATTCCAAAGCTCAAATAAATACTCTACACCCTTTCAGAACTCCATGGATGCACCTGTAGCTCCCTCTACCTGATATGCCTACTGTTCCCTACTCTACCTGGAACAGCCTTCACATTTACTCATCCCATGTGAAATGTCTCAAAAATCAGTAATCTCTGCCTCCGCTCTACTGGTCAATAAAGCAATAGCTAAGAGCATCATCTCTGGAATCAGCAGCCCTGAGTCCAAATTTCACTCTACCACTTAATGTATGACCTTGGCAAGTTTTTTAACCATTCTGTGTTGGTTTCTCACCTATAGAGAGGAGGTAATAATGCCTCCCAGGGTTGTTACGAGGATTAAATGAAAGAATACACAACATGTAATGTGCGTATAACAATACAAGCCCAGCACTGTTACTGCTTCTATCTCCAAATTGATGGTATCATATTTGTTTACAGGCATCTTCCCTTACCTACATCCCTTAGCTTCTCAAAGGTGTGAAGTTTCTTATTCCTTCTTGTATTCATAGCATATAATACAGTGCTAGGCACAAGATAGATACATAAAAGGGACGAAGGAATGAATGAAAAATAAAGACTGTTAATCCAGCAATATCAAGATTACGGAAACTATGCTTTCAATATAAAAATTAGAGCACATGGTTAATGGATATACTGGAATATCTGAAATCAGGTCCGCTATGAAAAATCCAAGTTGTCTGACTGCCAGAACAATCTAGAAAGAATACAAATGCTCAGCAGTTAGGGTGATTACATAAATGATATAGTATTACAACACAGGGGATTTTACTTAACTATAGCAGGTCTCTGTTGATACCTGAAAGAGTATGGAAAACACTAAGCAGAAAAACAGAACAGAAGAGTATGTATGGAAGCATTACAGAGCTGTTTAAGGAGTAATAATCAAAGAGAACAGATTTTTTTTATGTGTGTATATAAATCACATGGTGAAAGGACCTTATATTTTTAAAATTAATTTTGAATCTAAAGACAGCTTAATACGAAAAAATGCTTATAATGCCTTTATGTAAGAAACGAGATAAATAGAATAGATATTCCAAAACTTTTAATCCCTTAAATAAGACACAGTGAGAAGAGTCAAGTTTCTCCACTATTATAACTCCCTGAATAGGTAAGTTTCCTGATTTAAAAAAAAAAAAAAGTCCATATACACTTCTTATGGCTAATTCTCTTACTTCATAAGTAGACTTGTAGGGCCAGTCATCTGTTTTGTCCATATCAGGGACAGTCAATAGCTTGATTAAATTAACTAAACAAAGTTCTCCTTGCATAAACCTTCTTCCTTTGGTACAATTAAAAAATAAAATCTAAAATGCATAAATTTGTCCACAAAGAAGAAAGGTCTTCAACAAGTTTTCATTCATTTTTCTCCAAAGAATTTCCCCCCAAATTAGAGCCCAGATCACAAGAAAAAAAAAAAAAAGAAAAAGAGTAACATACTTGCTTAAAGCTGAGAGCATATATTTTTCACTTATATCAGCTTATTTATTTTATATATATATTCACAAAGATATACGATATCTATGCATATCTATATGAACACTGAGAAAAATTGTCATGAATCCATCTTTTCAGTTATCTTCATACAAATCAATAAAATAACGTCAGCAATAGCATCATCAAATAACCAGGTTATGATGATTACTCTAACTGAACTCTAACAAAACAAATATTCCCTCAACTCGACACCTCCATCCTTCCTGCCATCAACATTCCTTAGATTATTATAAGGAAAGGAGACAGGTAAAAAGTATAGATAGGAATCTACTCGAAATAATGTCTCTTCAAAAAAAGCCAAAAAAAAAATGAATTATCCCTGAATATAGTTCCAATCACTAAACAAATAACCTTTCTTAAAAACACAGTTCAACAGTGTAAAAATTAATTTTTTAAACTTTTTGTTTTATAATCAGAATTTCTCATTAACTTCATAAATACTTTTGCCAAAAGAGCAATCTGTCAACACATGCAGTTTAAATCATTAACCATACAGCATCAAATCATAGTATAATCATAATGTAAGTTTCATGAAGTTGCCAATTGGATCCTTTTAGACACTGTACGACATCCAGTAAAGGATGCTTATTAAACATTTATGATGTTTAATAATTAAAAAAAAGGGTGAAGAGTCTTGATTATGCAACTTGCTTGTCATGCATAACATAAACCACTGTTCAATATGTTTCTCCAAATGCAATTATAAGGAACCACAAAACAAGCCCCATTCAAATTAAAAATTTTCTGTCTCCCCTGCCCAAGAATATTGTTTCATTTTTATGTCAGAAAGAAACTGCCAGGCCACCAGCAGCTGGCATGCGACATGCAGACTGTTGGGGTATTTAACCTAAGCATATACGCACCATTAACAAAGCACAAAGCCTGATATATTTCATGCACATTTTTAGAGATATTTTCCTTACCTTTTCCATTTTGCCATGTAGTATACCAAGATAAAGTAAGGAACGAAGTGATAAATGCTAAAACGGTGGCTACAGTTCCATTTCGGAGCCTCATCTCATTTCACCATCACACTGGTTCATACATTTACGAAGTCAGGTGAATCCAGTACTCCAGGCTCTGGGCCAATGAAATCAGTCAATAAGAGAGGTTCATTCCAGATGCTGTGCAGAATAAGTCTGATAGCAACACCAGTCACAACTGCTATTGAGAATTGTCTTCACAGTCTTCATAGGTTGATGTCTCAGGCTTTCTTCCTATCCAAGAAGAAAACAGAAAGAAAAACTTGTTCAGTAATACAACATATTGGTTTCTTCATTCATGAGTCACCGTTACAAGCAGACTTTTGGCAGGGCCAAACTGTGTCTTTGCAGTTTATTCCCACCTTTAAACCACTCATTTAATATACCAGGATTACAGGCTGCTTCTCCTCAGGTGAAAAAAGCATCCAACTACCTGTATTCCCTCCTCATTTGTTTGGTTTTATCTGTGAAAAGAAAGTTATGGTTATGTATTTAAGGAGAGAAGTTGTGGGGCTCATTAAACATATAATAAGCCAGATTCCAAGCTGAGAACTCTTAATGATCACACAATGGTTCCTGAATAACATAATCTTCACTCTCCTCAGTTTTCCTATAGCACAATAGTAGTTCTTTCTTTTTTTTTTTTTTTTAAATTTAAGAAAATTGACAACATCCAAGGGTCAAAAAACCTGGGTCCTGGATCTGGCTCCATTATTACTTACATGACAAGGATGTCACTTTAGGCATTGTTCTTTAGTAGACAAATCTAATGCCTGCCCCCAAATTAGGAAAGTTTAGGCATTTTAAAAACGCCGTTATCCAACCAGAATACTGTATGACTGAGGATCCATCACTTATCACCACCCATCTAATAAAACTACTGAAAAAAATAGAATGAAATGCAGTCCTCAGAAGTACTTGAGCATAGTTGCCTAGCACATAATAGGTTCTCAATAAATGTTAACTGTATTAAAAATAAAAGCAAACAAACAAACAAAAAACTATAGCCAGCCACTTGTACAGTCCACTTTATGCATAGCTGGTATCATTCCCTGGAGGCATGTCAAACACTCTGAGATGTGCATTGATAACTGATGGCCTCAAGGGGACCACAAGATGCACTTTGCAATATACTAAATTACACTCTAGTGGGGTGACTTAATGTACCTCCAAAAAGGCCTACCAAGCCCACAAGACAATTCCCTCAGAAGAAGAATATGGCTGACTAAAGCAGCCACTTGTAGGCAATTCTGAAAATACCCATCGCAGCTACTTTGTATAACTGAACATTACTAGAAATCTCTACAGTGAAGAAAGATCACTAGAGCACAGTATTAGTAATAATAGACACTACAACTCATAGAGTTATTTCCTATGTGCTGGGCCCATTATATATAAATCTTTATTGCATTTTTTTCCATTACCATTTAGCCCCTCATACCCACCTCCCCCCAGCAATTACCACACTGTCGTATATGTTTTCAATCGTCACAAAATCCTACGTGGCAGGCATCAGTAACCCTATTTTACACACAAGAAAATGAACCCAAAGAGAACCCTAATTTGTATGACTCCACAGTCTACACTCTTACCTACCAGACCTTTTGCCTCTCCAACTCAGCCACCTGCACCCACGCAGGGAGAGAGGTGCCAGGGATACTTCCAAGTCTCAGGTTACATGAAGAATGTTCACAAGGTGTCAAGTTTAGCCAACAGCTTAAGTATGAATTTTAAAAAAATGTTTATGTTCCATAACAAACATGGAACTATTATGAAATAAGCTGCAAAATTTGTAAGAAATCTCAAGGTTTAAACATAAAACCTTGAACAAATTTCTCTTCCTACAGCCTTTGGCTAAGCTTCCTCCCTATAATACGTGCGCGCACATGCCCTCAGGCATGCCTGTTAATCCTTCTTAGCCAGCCCCTCTAACTGTGGTATAATATTCTAGAAACACTGAACTCCCCACCCCCACTCCACCTCCTTGATTATTCTTACTATACAAAAACAAGGAACCTCAAAGATATTCTCTTGCAAGTTATCACTGTTTTCTAAACCCCAAGTTATTCACATTGCATAGTTAAGACAAATATGCCCATGTCTAGTGTTCACAATTTAAAATTTTCATGGTGAAATTCTATAATTTCAATTCTATAAAGTGCCTAATAATTTTTTATCACTAAGCACCCAATAGTGAGTTCTGAATATAAAAAAAAGTGATAACACAGTGAATTATATAACTTGGAATTTTAACCATGGTGTGACATTATATTGGGTTGGCCAAAAAGTCTACTACATTTTTTCTGTACTATGGCTCTAGTAGCACTTAGTTGTCTTCAACTTCATTCAAAACAATTTCATTAGATTGTATTGTGATAGCTGACATATCAGCGTGCATTTTTTAAAAACTTATCAAAAATTGGTGAATTTTTGTGCAGCCATTTTAATATTGAAGATAGAAGATACACATTTTTGGCATATTATGTTTTATTATTTCAAGAAAGGTAAAAACAACTGAAATGCAAAAAAAAAAAAAAGATTTGTGCAGTTTATGGAGAAGGTGCTGTGACTGATCAAACATGTCAAAAGTGGTTTGCAAAATTTCTTGGTACTACTGACACTTTGCCCAAATGATTCTTTGCTGTGGGGCTGTCTTATGCATTGGAAGATGATGAGCAGCACCCCTGCTTCTAGCAGCACTAGAAGCCAATAGCAGGAGATAGCCGACATACTCAAAATATCCAAACAATAAAGTTATTGGTGAAAATGAAAAATGTGTCTTTTATTTTACAGAAAAAACTGAACAGACTTTTTTACATAAAACATAAAAATGTGTATAACTTTTTGTTGCTATATACTTAGCCCTACCTAACTTCAGGAAGGAGTTTGTCCTAGTAAAAGATCTAAAAATATACGAGTTAAAGTAAACATTCAATTAATAATCACGGGGAAGTAGAGAAGCAGAGAATCATAAAATTAAGGATATTTTAAAATACAGTTTTATCAAATATAAATAAAACCCATATAATAAAATTCAGTATAAATGGGCAGAGACAATTAAAAGTGAATGAATTCTAAAAGTAGACTACAGATATACTATTGAGAAACATAAGAAATATTAAACAGAGGAAGTTATTAAGCCCTGGGTTAAAGAAGATATTGTACTAATAATGAATTCTACTAACAAATAAGATCTAAAATTCTGCAAGAGAACTACAACAGCATTTAACTCAGGAAGAATATAGTCATACATTTTAAATCAAGGTTTCCAAACTATTGAAGTTTAATTGCATAGCACAAGTGAAGGCTCTGGACAAGAGCAAAACTAATGATCTCTGGGCCCTTAAACCACCCGAGGCAATTGCTAGGCTGGACAACCAAAAGCCTTCTGGATTGACTAACTCAAATAAGAGACAAAGTGACCCATATTTTAAAGTATCCACATTCGCAAAAATTTTATTCTGAGACTATCACTTTACACATTTGAATCTTTAACAACAAAAAAGTTAGTGGCTAAAATTACTAGTCGTCTTCTCCATCCTGACAAAATGAATGGAACTTTCAACTCTAGATCTCAGACCGAAAAAAAAAAAAAGTTTTATTAACAGATTTTTAAGGGCTGCAGTCCTATATTTCTATTATTATATAATAAATTATTTTACAGTGTCCTCTACACAATTCTGTTCCATTGCTCAGAATACTTCTGCTGAACATTTGACAAATTCCTTAATTCCCGTCCTACAGAAAGGACACAGATTCCGAAAGAGAGACAGACAGACAGACAGGAGAGGGATGGACAGAAGGAAGGAAAGAAAAGCACAATCATGAAATCCAAGATGTAAGCTCTCTATACACCGCAATTAGGTTAAAATTCACTTATTTTATATTTATAAAAGGATTAATATTTTTACTTAATACATCTTACATAATTTCATCGCCCAGTGCGTTTTCGGATTTACACGTGTGAGTAAAGAAACCGATACCACGATGCCCTCTTAGGCAACTATTTTTTAAAATAATCAGAAAAGGAAACATAAACCACAAAACGCGTATTATTTGATTCAAAATTTAGGTTCTAAGTTCAAATAAACAACGTCATTATCTTACCTCAGAATTTGCCCAAAGGCAAAAGCACAACAGCAAAATATATGGGAAGCATTAAACAAATACATTGCGCCTGCTCATATTCCGCAATTTTGGATTGTAAGCAATGAACGGGTTACAGAGAACACACGCTGCGAGAAATAAATGCGGGCACGCAAGGGGTAGGACTGCCAGCTCATAAAATTCGCCTTCGAGATATCACCTGGCACACTCTGTGGAATCACTGGGACCCAACCTAAGGGTCCCACGTGCAGCTTCCTCCTTAGGTGGTGGGGAAATGGGCTGCTCTTTGACACCACACCATCACCAGGTCTTCACTTCGTAGGTAAATTCGCTACCAAGGCTGCAACGCCTCCTCACCAAGGCGGGAGCAGCTACGCCGCCTCTGGGCCCGGGACTGCCTCGTCCCCACCCCACCTGCCCCACGGCCCCGGAGAAACGCCGGGCACGGGCCCTCAGGCAGCCCTGTTCGGTCCGCGTACAACGCTCACTCCCCCTCCGCACCCCCAAACCCACTCTCTCCTCCACTTTGCCCCAAAGTAGACCAGCCCCGCTGCGCCGAGCAGCGCCGGGAACTCACCAGGAGCCCGGCTGGCCACTGGAGAGCGCGCGGCACCAAGGGGCCGCAGCGTTGGGGGCAAGGGGCTGGCAGAGCGACCAGGACACCCGGCCCACGCCCTGGGGCCCGGCCGGTGCCCTGACTGGCCCCGCAGCAGTCCGAGGCGCGCGAGCTCCCGGCCGGGCCGCGACGGGGGAGGCTCCGTTACCAGCAGGTGGATCCCCGGCAACCCTGCGCCTGAGAGCCTGGCAGTGGGCGCCACGCCTTAGCTCCGCGCCTTTCGGCCCAGCCTCCCTGCGCCGCCGCCTCCTGGTCGCGCACCACCCGCGTTCCCCGCGAGCCCCCTCAACCTCGTTCATCTTACCACCGCCGCTGCCGAGATTGCTGTGGACCCGCGCTGCTGCCGCTGCCGCCGCCGCTGCCGGGTGCCCCGCCTCCCCGCTGAGACTCCGCCTCCACCTCTGCCTCTGGAGCGCGGGCAGCCCCGCCCGCGACCCCGCCAGCCATTGGCCGCCAGGGCTGCGCGCCGTCCACTGGGCGCCCCCACGCGGCCGAGCCGCCCGCGTCAGTGGCCCACGCGGCTGTCATTTAGGGGTGCGGTCTCGCAGCCTATATAATTCTCGTGAGATCTGCATTTCCACCCCCACCTTCTTTTACTGTCCCGGCGGGGTCTGTAGAAGCGTCTTCTTCTCTGGTCCTAGACTCAGAGCTTGGCTTCTCCCCGACGCCCTGCTGTCGCGCCACCGACACACTTGGCTTTCATCCTCCCCAGCATGGGCAGAGGCCGCCTAGACCACCAACAAAAGGCCCTGCAAGCCCTCGGCCTCCGCTTCAGCGCACAACCTGGTCGCTGCGGGCTGCCCCAGTCTGGTCCCTTGCCGCCACCGCGGGTCCCGTTGCTGGCCGTACTGCGTGGGTAGCCCTCCTGGTGACAGGTCTAATCCAACAATAGCTTCCAAGGGCCGTGGTTCCAGGCACCTCACTGACTGTCTCTGATCGTCAAGATACCTCCAGCCACAGATGTCGTTATCCCCAATTTACAGATGAGGAGACGGGTACCCAGGGAGAAGGACTGGCTTAAGCAACTAGGAACAAAAACTATAACTAGAGTTTAAACGCAGGTCATTTGGGGGCTAAAGCCTGTCACTTCCCACTACACCAAGCTGTCCTGCCCCTTTCTTCTGAGCCCCACGCCTTTAATCTACAGCCGTTTCCCAAGGTTTGAGATTAATTTCAGAACAAATAAATAATCATTTATAGAAAGCCTGAATGGTCTGTCCCGTTTTTCCTAGTATCAACATGTACTATGACTTGCTTAATAAATTCAGTAAACAAGTAGCAACTACCATGGGGTACATCTTTTTTGGATATTTATCAGATACCAGGCAAGATGCTAAGATTTCAATTGTGTTATCTTGTTTAATCCCCATTTTTCATGAGGAAACTGGAGCTCAGAGAGTTTGCCCAAGTCGTAGAGCTGTTGTTAGATCTCAATTCAAACTCCAGAAATGTGTTATTTTAACCACTATAATAACCCTTATAACCACCTTGCAAGTTAATATTTACAGGAAATTAGGGACTCAAGATCAAGAAAACATACTTGCTCCTGCCAAGCTCCCAAAATAATAAATAGATTCTTTTTAGAAAATAATAATTCAAAGATTCAAAACTCTAAAAGTTAACCATCAATCAGAATACTTTTTTTCAAGCAAAATTCCTTTATTTTTGTCTCAAGATAGAAGTAATTAATGATCAGCTATGATATGCATGGGTTTCTCAGCTCTCCCATGGTGAGTTCTCTCTCTGTAACTGTCAAATTGTTTTAAAGGTTCAGAAAGAAATACATGATTCCCCTTTTCTGTGATTCCCCTCTGATTTAGGGGAGCAGACAAAAGAGGTTTAGCCACTGTTCAGTACCATGAACATAACTTAAGCACAACAGCCATGACACCATATGACAACTTTTCTGTCTGCTTTGAGGGCCTGAGATTCAGACTTCCTGTATTCAATGACAAAAACATTTCCTACTAGCAAGCTGGTAACAGATTTCATCACCAGATGTAAGCAATAAAGACAGACCATTCCAGGTTACAACTTTTGATCCATTGTTTGATATATCTTGCCTAAAATCTCTCTTATGAATGGACAATCCTAGACCTTGTCATATGGTGCTCTTAATGACAGACAAGCAAATTCCTTCTTGCAGATGAAGAAACCACTGCCTTTTGACAATGATGGAGAAAGCTACCGAGCCACATCCACAGGATTGGCCAAAGACCTAATACCACACGTACCTACTATCCCTATTTTACGGAGGAAGAAACTCAGGTTTAATTCTGCAGATATAAATAGTAATATAAGCGGCTAGTAAATGATCCAACCAGAATTCAAATCCAGGGCTGTTTGATGTCAGTTTCTATAACATCTACCGTACCACGTCTCTGCTCCCATCTTCAGGAACTGATAAACTTTTATTGAGTGGATGAATACTAAAATACAAGGTCTGTCAGGAAGGTATCCAGCCCTGTAATATGAAAAATAGAGACATTTACTGAAGAAGATACAAGATATAAGGAACATTGTCCTTAAGACTATGATGCCTCAGTCCCCTTCAAAGTAGGCACCTTCGGACCACAATCAGTTCTCCCAATCACTATCAGCTGCCCCATCATATTTTCCTGAATCTCATACACAATCTGAAATGTCTTCCCTTTCAAAGGTGATTTTAGTTTTGGGAAAAGCCAGAAGATGCAGGGTGCTAAATCTGGGTGTTGTGGGGCTGAGTTACCCGGGAGATTCAACGTATCGCCAAAAGACCCTGAACCAGCCAGTGGTTGTTGTGATGAAGCTGCCAATCACCAGTTACCCATAGCTGTGGCATTCTGAATCTTCCAAATAGTTTCCTCAGAGGCATGTTCAAGCTTAATGTAAAATTTCATACAGATTCATTGCTTTACTCCCTCAGTCATTTAAAATGCAATGGCCACACAGTACACATGCTCACTCAACAGTGTCTATGGCCTCCACTGAGTAGTACAGTGAAGTCATTATTGTTCATGCATGCACATTCCAGTCCACTCTCCTTGGCTGCCAGGTTACATCGATGTCGTGCACATTGTTCTTGTTATATTAACAATGGCTGTACTTTTTCCGGATATACCTCATATACATGTTTCTCTCCACTGACTCTATTTTTTTTCTCAGTGCGGGAAGGAAATGAAAGCATTAACAAACATTCCATAAGCATATGTCAGAGGAGAAAGGAAAGCCAGGAAGGACAAGCTTCAAACGCAGACTCAATGGGATTATTCAGGAAGACAGCAAGAATTCTCTCTGGATGCTGATTAGTGGTAAAACCCACAGCAGAAGACAAAAAAAGCCAGGTAAAATACAACTGCCTTTCTTCTGGGGCTTTTCTGATGATTTTTTGCTATGTCACCTGGCAGCAGAAGGGCAGCATTGGGAAGAAATCTGGTGGCACAGTACACTTGTCACAGACAATTCACATTTTAGCTCAGAAAAGTTTGGATTTCAGTTTGTTGTTTAGAAAATGGAATGACCTGGAACACTAAGCCTTCAAGGATTAGTTAAAAATTGGTTGATCATATATCATAACTTTGCAGGTTACGCAGTCCTGGATTTTCCAAACAAGTGTATTGTATTTGTTTAATAAACCATCAAAAGGCAATCATTCCAAACCCCACTGAGTCCAATCTACCAGGGAGGACCCAAAACAACCAGAATTATCCTCTGGAGGGTGGGCCTCTTGTAATACAGGCTTACCCCACTAAGTGAATGTTCTGAGACCCAATCTATATCAATGTACCAACTAGCATTGTTGTGAGACGCTGCATTCAGATTTAGTGAATTTTTTTGAAGGCTCTTTCAACACATTTGCCCATTTCATGACGGGTGCTATGAGTGTACCTGCTCACACCAAGCTGTGTTCAGCAGTTTTGGACCAAAAATGGCATGACCCCTGTACCCTCACCCCCGCCCCATCACCTCATCTCACCCTGAGCAACGCTTGTTTCCCCAGATGAAAAAAGTCCTCAAAGGGAAATGTGTTGCTGATATGGAAGAGGTAAAACAAAAAACAGCAGAAACACTGAAAGGCATCAAAATCAATGAATTCAAAACTGTTTTGAGTGGTGGAAAAAAGCATCTCAATGGGTGTATTGCATCAAATGGACAGTACTTTCTAGGTGATTGATGTTTAAACATGTAAGAATACACACACAATTTTTTATAAATAAATTTCAGGGTTTTGGGGAGAGGGGTGGAGTCCCTTCTCATATGTCTTTTTCTCTTTTCCATGAGCATTCTCCTTTTCTATTATTCCCTTTTTTGTTTCTTCTTTACTCTTGCAGTTTCTCATTTTGCCTTTTCAGGGCCTTTAGTTTACACATCAGTGGAAATGGGTGAAGTGCTTAGGTAAGAAGTTCTGTCTGTGACTTCATTCTATATTCTGTCCTTGCTGTATGGTGACTGTCCTTTCCTCAAACATTTTCTGAGTGCCTGTGATGTGCAGAGGCAACTGGTGTCTAACCATGGTATGATCACAGATGAGCAGGAGAGGTTGGGTAAGGAATTAAGCCACAAGCCTAAGGTCCTAGGACAGGAGACAGGATGGAGCTGTCACTCAGATTCTTGGGGCAGGGAAGGCTTTCTGGAACTGACCTCTGACCTACAGGCAGAGCACACATAGGAAGCTTATCTTCTCCTTTCGTTGTTTTTGATGATGAGTAGTTGTTGATGCAGCCCTGACTACAGCAATTAGCTTCTAAGAAATCAAGCACAAGGTCTTTAGTTCTCTGCTACTTCAGTCCCCTCCTTGTGTTAACAACCCAACTTGCCTGATCTATGAGTGTTTATAAATGTTGTGATTTTGGTTCCTTGGCTACTAGCTCAAGTGGAACTTTCTTCAGTCATAAAGGCTTCAGGAGTGATTGCATCAGGAGGGTCTTCCTGGCTTTTTAGAATAGCTTATTTAGAGGTAGTAGGAACCCTCCCATTTCACATGAACAGTACATTCTATCACTGTAGTCTAGTAGCCATAGCAAAACTGGGACCAGGATGAGCCATAACTCTTTTAACTCTTTGTTAGCTGCAGAGTGTTTCAGATACAGCGTACAAACTACTTCTATTGTATAGTCAGACAGGGCACATGAAGTCCAAGCAATTCATGAAGGAATTAAAACAGAACCATTTAATATTCAATTCTAGGTAGAAAGTAGGTTCAGGATAGCAGAGAGCTACATTTTTTTTTATATTGTTATTCTATTGAAGGTGTCCCAATTTTTCTCCCGTTCTCTCCCCTGCCCCACCTAACCCTCCTCCCACAGTAAATCCCCAGCCTGCTGTCCATGTCCATCAGTGCTTTATACATGACCCTTGACTAGACTCTACCCCTTCTTACCCCAGTTTTCCCCTT